CCATAATTATGTTTCCAAACCATGTTTCTCTCCCGAGTACTGCTTTGTCAATGGTGCTAAATCCTTAAGACAAGACTTGGGACAGACTGTACTGCTCACATTCTCCCCATCATCCACCCACAAACTGAGAACATTTCCACAAAAAACATCTTTCTGTATCACCTATTAGCAAGAGTTTTAAAGAGCAAGCTTATGTTTTTTCTCATTTGGGCTACTGCTTTCAAATTTTAACACTGAAATAGATGATTCCCAACCAAACACCTAGCCTGTGTTGCAGTGTTTACAATCATGTCTCACCCCAAAGACATGGCAGATATTTAAAACAGACACTGCAGAGAATACCTGGTCTCTCACAAAGGATTTGAATATTTTCTGTATGAGAAATGCCCACATGGACTTCCTCAGCCACTGCCATCAGCACCAGCACAGGCACTCAGCACATCTCCCAAACCCCCAGTCACGACGAGGTCGTTGCTATAATGGGAATGGCAAAGGCTCAGTAAGTAGGAGGAGGCAGGTGGAGGAGTTACCAGCAGAAATATGCACAACACCATCTCCCATGCATAATTTACTGCTTAGGCCCCCAGATCTTCAAATTCAATCACATCAGAGTTTCTCTTTTGTTCTATTCACTCTCCATAATTAAGGATATTTCCAGATGACAACAAAATTTTAAATCCCAGTGGTGTGTAAAATAGGGTAACTGGTTGAAGATGCAGGCAGAATGAAAAACATTCACATGTTTAAACATCAACTCTATAAGAAAAAATAAGACAGAAATTTATTTATCCTTTTCCATACTCAGAAGGCTGAGTGAACTGGGACTGGTCTGCCTAGAAAAGAGAAGGCTTCAGGGTAACCTAATTGCCCCTTCCAGAACTTGAGTGGAGCCTACAGGAAAGATGGAGAGAGACTCTTTACCAGGGAATGGTAAAGAGACAAGGGGGAATGGCTTTACACAAGAGTGGGTTTGGATGAGATATCAGAAATAAATTCTCCCCTGAGGGGTGGGGAGGCCCTGGCACAGGCTGCCCAGAGAAACCCTGGATCCCTGGGAGTGTCCAAGGCCAGGCTGGACGGGGCTGGAGCAGCCTAGGAGAGTGGAAGGTGTCCCTGCCCATGGAAGGGGGTGGAACGAGGTGGCCTTTTAGGTCCCTTCCAACCCAAACTATTCTGGGATTCTATGACAGTTAGAATGGACTTAACATGTTTATTTTCAGAAAAAATCCTACTATCATGCTTCTGAATGTGTCATTTTTCCAAGTTATGCATAATTCAATGCATTTTCTAGAAAACCAGTTATTACATAGGTATCTAAACCTCACTCTTTTACTGAATTTATTTTCACTCATCAAAATCATGCTAAATATGACAAGAAATGTAAATATAACTCTTATTTGTTGCACCCTTCTAGCACAAATAACAGTCTGCATCCCTTTGTCTACCAGTTTCCAGCTCCTTTAGAGCAGTTTCATCCAGCCTGTATCTCTTTATTCTATCAAGTTTAATACTCCTCTTCTGTTGAGGCAGGAGGTGCATTCCCATATAACAGAACAAAATTAGTTGGCTCTGATGTGATTTGTGCTTGACAAATCTATGTTGACTTTTACTTACCATCTTGTTAGCTTCTTAGTGCTAACAAGTAGTTTATTTGTTCCACAACTTTTCACATTTGTCATCGGATTGCAGCTGACCTTCTTAGGGAGATTGAGGCAAAACAACCATTAAATACTTCAGCTATCTTGGAAACATCTGCTCATGGCTTAATGTCCCCTTTAATCTGTTCAGTTATTTCTTGATTTTTGTAAAAAAAAAGGGTTTTTGCTGGTAAAGCATTATATTCTTTTGGTTTTTTGTCCTTGATGCCCTTTGGTAGTTGTATTTTTTCTGTAAGTTTGTCTCTTCCCGTTCCTGTCTGTGCAATTTCATTTGTCCTTTTTTATACTGCCTTTCCAACTCCATTTCACCACAGAACATGGTACAGACTTTGTAGTCCCCATATATTTAATTTTTCTTTCATACTGAAACAATTTGCTTCTGTGCTCTTCAACAGTATCATTCAGAAACAGAAAACTCTCAAATGTCTCTTCTCCACATCAGTTTACCCATCTCTATTTGATCTTTACTGGCACCTTCCTTACTGAGTTCACCATCTTTACAGTAACATTTTCTTTGCTGCTACTCTCAAGTCGATCATTCCATGATCATTCATCCCAAGGTATATGTCACAATGGGATATAATCCAAATTGGATCAATTATCATATCATTTTCCAGTAATTTCCACTCAGCAAAAAAACCTGAGATATTAAAGATGAGTCACAAAGTTGCTAGACTAGTGTCTTTTGTATGCAAGAAAAAAAGGAATCCCAAATACTCTAAAACAGACAAATAAGCTTTAATCCCTTTTTTAATCTGAGCCTTCAAGTTCTACTGAGTTAGAAGAATTAGTTTTTATATTTCTATCAGACTAAAAGTGAAGTAACTTTTTCCTTGTGTTTACCTCTAGGTCTGACCCCTCTGCTGGCAGTGTTGTTATTCCTGCTGTCCATAGCTGCCCACTGCCATCCTTTGTCGGCTCCTCCTTTGCTGACAACCATCAAACACAGGAACATTCTTGTATTCAGAACCTGGGAACCATCTCAAATGGTATTTCAGCTGCTGCTCCAACCTTCTGATTGCTAATCCACACCTGGTGCATGCTGTTGTTTCAGCCCTTGAAAAACACTGGAACTTTCAGCAATTCTTCACTTAACCTCCCTGGGAAATAACTCTTGGCACCAGCAGGTTCAGGGAGGTTTGTAATCCAGCACATGTCCAAGGCAGTAACGCTGAAAGCCACTCAGCCTCCAGCGTGAGCTGCTTGGGTAAGAAATTTATCAACCTCCAAACCATTTCAGAAGTCAATTTGTCCCTTTCATTTAGAGTGCAGTGTGCAGAAGCCTTGCTTGGGTTTTTTACCTTAATGTACTATTTCCCGTGAGGAGAGAAAATGTTTTAAAGTAGATATAAAAACATCATTCTAAATTTGTAGCAATGTGTTTGTCGGTTTTCTGGTTTCTTCTCCAAAATAGAGCTCAGCTTCATTACACATTTCTTCCCCAGCACTCTTTGGGATGTAAGAAAATGTAAAAATTATGCTGTTTTCACTACAGCAGACCACTGGTGCTTAATACAAAGAGCTAAGCAATAACAACTGTTTGCACAAAAAAGCATTACTATATATATTTAAATTTGCCTGGACCACTCTTTGTGCTTTTTCTCATTATTTCCTTTTTTTTTTAACCACTGGCAAAACCCTTTCCTTAAGGCTCTCCACTCAGTGTTTACATACAAACCGCAGCCCAAGACAATTCATCTCCTTTCAAAGCAATGTCTGCTGGCAGCAGCTTGTCTGCATGTCCCTTCCTCTTCTTGGCAGCCTTTCTAATCTAAATTATTTCATATTTTACTGCTTTGCAGTAGGAACTGGTTTGGTGTATTTCTTCTGTTTCGTTTTCTGTTTTCACCTTTACTTCCTAATAGCTATTTTCTGGAAATTGTCTCAAGAGAGAAATCATAGGCACATCCTAAACGACATCCACTGGAGTGCCCAAAGAGCTGCAGAGATGGGAAGGGTCTGGAGGAGAAGCTTATGAGGAGCAGCTGAGGGCCCCTGGTTTGTTCAGCCTGAAGGAGACTGAGGGGAGACCTCACTGGGGCCTCCAGCATCCTCCTGAAGGCCAGGGGAGGGTACCAATCTCTGCTCTCTGTGCCCAGGGACAGGAGGGAGGGGCTGGAGATTGAAGCTGGATTATCAGGAATACCATCAAGTCACCAGAGCTTTCTAATATAGACCAATTTTCAGTGGAACCAATTTTCTGAAGAGATACAAAACTGCTCTCACTTAGTCTGAGCTTTCTTCCTAAGAGAGGAAGGAACATTCTGCGGCTCTCCCCTCACTTGAAACAAATCTAAACCTAATTGCTGAAAACTAGGAGAGTTTTGATTATGGCAGCAAGTGACCATCAGGAAATCTTTTACCAAATCTCAGAACATCACACAAATACAGTGTTCTTCAGATCAGACCAAGTTGCATTTGCTAAACTTCCAAGACACAAAATTGTTGTCATATTATAGCGAACGTTGCATACTGTTGTCTCATTATCACAAAAGTTTCATACCTTCTTGGTGTTTTCTCATGGGCAGCTTCTCAGAGCACAGACTCTTTCTTCACAAAGTAGCCAACTAAGTCCAGTTTCCTTCTCAACCAGCCAACCCACTCTTTTATAGCACTCTTCTTCTCATTGGTCACAGCTGTGGCCTGTTAAAGTCAGGCCTGTTCCTAATCTTTGGTAATTGGCCCAGCTGCAACTCCTTAGGGTTAAGATTACTTTCTGCACTGTCTTTATTTTCTTATAAAATAAGAATAAACAAAATAAATGCTGCACTGCTCTTCTACATACCCTGATGTTTTCAAAACACATGCTTGTAAGAAAAAAGCTAGCCCATGTCTTTGCTAAGACTGGTACCAATTAGTTCAATAAACTGAGAGCACAGACATAGGGATGAATGTTAAGAGTTTATGCTGAGAGCAATACAGTGAGGACAAAAAGCTATTTTGTGACAGGCCTGGAAAGCAAGGAGTGGAAGAGAGTTACAGAGGCACATAGCAATCCCTTCTCAAACCACAGCCTGGCCCTGTCATTATTTGTGTTTCTTAACCAACAGGAGGAGGTTCCTAAGGAGGAGGCTATGAGACACCAAGGCCTTCTTGAAGGCAAAGTCAGAAAACTAAAAAATTCAATCATTCTGTGCCTTTAATGCTTCACTGAATTTCCTATGCAAAGACCAGTACTTCTGATATTCCCAGGAAGGACTGCAGGGCCAGCAACTCATGATCTACCAGCTCTGTCCTTCCAGCTGGGCCACAAGGAACACACCTCGTGTTTATCTCCAGTGTATCTGCTCTGCTCCCAACTCTTTTCCTAGGAAGATTTTTAGCTCTTTGACAAATTCCTACCTGATCTGTTTGCCTTCCCGGACATCATACAAAGAGAAGAAGACGTCTGTGTCCTCTCCAATGGTGTTGTAGGTGAAGCTCTTCAGGCTGAGGAAGAAGTGATGAGGCACTGGCATTCGACAGGCTTCCCCGTGCCGCTGACGGATCGTGTCCACCTGAGCCAAACCAAGGACAACCATTGGCACTTCCTCACAAAGAAAGGACACCTGAACAGACCAACTTGAGCATTTTAACAGAGATCCTGCTTTCCTCTCACCCTCAAGTAAAAGTTTAATCTCAAATATATTCTGCCTCAGAGACAGGGGCTAGATTAAGATTTCTGCCTCTATTTTTAACGCTTCTAATTTGAATAGATTGATGAAACTGTGATAACCAAGTAGATACAAAACAAATGGTTTATGCATTGGAAATCTGATTTTATCAAGTAAACCAAGTCAATCCAATTTCTCAAATTTTGCTTTGATTCTGGTACTGAAAATGAATTATAAGATGGTACTGGAGCGGGTCCTGATGATTTCCATTTAAAGCAGATGGACTTAAAGCACTGTTAGTAACATTTGTTACATTATTTCTTTTGAGCAGCTGCAATTCACTTCCAGAGGTAATTTCTGCAGCCAGTAGAATGAGGGCAGTGACTGTCCCCCTGTACTGGGCACTGCTGAGGCCACACCTCAAATCCTGGGGTTTGGGCCCCTCACTCCAAGGAAGAACTGAGGTGATGGAGCCTCTCCAGGGAAGGGAATGGAGCTGGGGAAGGGTCTGGAGCACAAGTCAGATGAGGAGCAGCTGAGGGAGCAGAGGGGGCTCAGCTGAGGAGAAAAGCAGGCTCAGGAGTGACCTTATTGTCCTGTGCAGCTCCCTGAGAGGAGGCTGTAGCCAGGTGGGGTCGGTCTCCTCTCAAGGAGCAAGTTGTGTCAGTGCAGCTCCCTGAGAGGAGGCTGTAGCCAGGTGGGGTTGGTCTCTTCTCTCAAGGAACAAGTTGTGTCAGGGAGGTTTAGATTGGATATTAGGGAAAAATTCTACACTGAAAGGGTTGTCAAGCACTGGAACAGGCTGCCCAGGGAAGTGGTGGAGTCACCATCCTTGGAGAGATTTAAAAGATGTGTAGATGTAGTGCTTAGGGACAGAGTTTAGTGGTGGCCTTGGAAGTTCTGGGGGAACATTTGGACTTAATCCTAAGGGCATTTCCCTCTCAAAAACAATCCATGACTTAGAACCAGGCTTAACAGGCCAGTTTGTCCTGCAAGTACAAAAAAACTTAACAAGGGTTGATAACATGAGCAACCAATCAAGCCCAGTAGTAGAAAGGTTTACATTTTGGCTCAACACATCAAGACCTATTTACAGCAGTGAATGCTGGGGTAGCCAAAGATAAAAAGAGTATAAGCAAATGTAGGCTTTCAGTTTTTACAGCCCTTTACATCCCCTCATGCTGATCTTAACAAACAGGTTGCATGAATATCTTACGTTCCCTATGCTCACCTCCTCTGAATGCATACACAAGTACAGTCTAACAAAAAAAAATCTTAAATTTCCAGACTTACAATTCAGATTTTTACTGGTTTAAAAGGAATTTTGTTCTGGATTTTAAACCCAAGGAAATCCTCATTCTTTAAAGACCTGTGGAAGCACAGATCTCTGTAAAGATCAAAGCCAGATTCTATGACCAGGACTGGATTATACCAGTACAGAAAGGATGTGTGAAACAGGAGCCACTAAGCCACGTGTTAGCAGGTAGACAGAAGAGTCACAGGGGCAGAGTGAGGCTTTTGATCTCACTACACAATTGTATATTTTAAGAACAACAGTTACAAGCTCAGGAAAAGAGACCTAAATGGAATTTGAAGAAGGACCTTAGTGACTTAAACACTTGGGCATCTTCTGAGGAAGTGTTCTGTGGGTAAGGACTTACCCAGTAATCTCCATTACACCTTTAGCTACATTACCAAGAACTTAAAGACAATAAAAAATTCAAATGTGGATGGTATTTACCTGTGATGTGCTCTGCTGGACACTGTGTCTACTTGACAAATGCTGTGGAGACACAAAATAGTAAAATTTAAACCTTTTTGAAAGTAAGAAATATTTACATTGTATTTATGTAGCATTAGCACAGTAATTCTGAAATATGACTTTCATAATTATTAGCAATGTTTCATGCCTTTTTTCACAGTGTATCATCACTCACAAGACCACTTGCTTTCCTAAAGGCTTTTCTCAGTTAAGCTGTTTCTCTACCTATCTATTTGCATTTACAGGGAGTATTTGCTTTAGCTTTTAAAGTAAATGGCTGTCACAAGTTAGACAGAATTTAAAAAAGAAATGTTATTACAGTGTTGGAAAATTTCATTATTCTGTATAATCTCTGTCTTCTCCTGCTAAATGGGAAGATACCCCACCACTAATTCTCCTCTCCTGGTATGTTGTCTGTGGAAAGGTGCATTTGTTAAAACACACAGGCATCTAGAAAGAAAGATGGATTTTACACATTGTTGAAACTTTTTGCTCTAATAAAAAATGAAATCCTGAAAATTGGTTAAAGACTCTTCTACAATTTCAGCTGCCCAATACCTGTAAAGAAGAATCAGTATAAAGAACTACATGTCTAAAAACTCAGAGGATGATGCTGTATTTAAAGCCTTTTATGCTAGAAGATGATGTTATAATCAGAAAATGGACTGCAAGACTCACTGAAGCCATTTAATCTCCAAAGGGAGATTTAAATACTAATCTAAATTGAAAAGGTTTCAAAGAGCTTTAAAAAAACCCATCATTAATGATTCTGCCATGCTTTTCCCTGCACATCATCTTAATATTAGCATTTTAAACCAAAATATTAACATTGACACTGCCACACATTGTTAAAAACTCCCTTCATTCTCCACACTTCCCTCCTATTACAAACCCAACATCTCATTCTGACCAAACATTTGCACTCTATATCAGAATTAGCAGCTCTGTTGACAAATATGAAGCTTCAAAGGAGGTGAAATCAAAAGATTGTCCATGAAATGTATCTGGCAATACTCTTAAATCACCTTGTTGTCTTTCACAAAGAACAATGAGACTTTTTACCACAAAAGCAGAGACACTCTTCATAATGAGAACAAACCAAGGAGGTGCTGGGGTACTGAGGGAGCTGGCAGAAGTGCTCACTGAGCCCCTTTCAGTCCCTCACCAGCAGTGGGCCCAGCTGGCCAAGGATGCCCCTGTGTTTGACACTGCTGATGCCACATCTCAAATCCTGTGTTCAGTTTTGGGCCCCACACTACTGGATCAGCTATTAGGGAAAATTTTGGCACCCAAAGTGTTATCAAGCAGTGGAACAGGCTGCCCAAGGCAGTGGTGGAGTCCCCACCCCTGGAGGGATTTTAAAGACCTGTAGCTGTGCCACCTGGGGACAGGGGTTGGTGGGGCCATGGCAGTGCTGGAGGAATAGTTGAGCTCAATGATATTAAAGGTCTCCTCCAACCTAAACAATTCTGTGATTTTAAATGGCTTATTTTGACATCTGTTTACATTCACAGTTATAAAAATGTCCTCTTTCACACTCTCAGTAGAATAATGATCTTCAGCTCCATTGTTTGTGTAACTATTGCATCATCTTCTGAATGTTAAAAGCCTTCAAGTTGGCTGAGTTGCCTATTCATCTTTTTGTCACCTGCAACCACTCAGAATCAGCTGGCACAGAAAAGACCAGTTATTTAAGCTATTCAAGGTGTCCTGACTTCTTTTGATTAAATTAATCTCTAAATCCAAGTAAGAAAATGAGACAGGCAACACGAATATGAGAGGTGGTCTGAAGAGATTAATCAGCAAACACTGCTGCTCACAGAGTGTACACTGAGGTAAATCTATGACAATAAGTAGTAAAAACCTCAGGTTTTAAATTTTTCCACAACCAGAATATTAGATTTGACTAACTCTCTGCTTTCATGCTTCAGGACCACATTATAACAATACAATCACTGACTGAGTTAATTTATGTGCCCTTGCCTCTGGCCAGGCAAAGTGCCCAGAGGGTACATGCCATTTTTGGGTACTTGGATGGGAGGGTGACTGAAAATAACCAACATGGATTTATCAGGGGTACATTATGCTGAATCAAGTGATTCCCCTGAGGTAAAATAACCAAATAAGCAGATGAGGGAAGATTAGTGGCTGCTGTGTCTCCCCGGCTCAGCGAGGCCCTCAGCATGGTCTCCCACAGTATTCCTGTACCCAAGCTATCAACTTACACCTTCATGGACAGATCCATTATTTGATTTAAAAAAACCCAACAAACAGTAGGATTTGCAGGCTCCAAAGGTAGTGGCTGATGGTGTGTATTTTTCAGGCATCTGTCCTGAGAACTATGTGGTCTTAAATCTATGTGGATTTCTAAACTGGGGACAGCAGATTGGCAGGGTCCCACTAAAGCAAGTCAAACATAAGTCAAGGGAGTACTCAGGCAGCAGGGACATTTAACAATTTACTGTTTCTGTTACCAGGAATGGAGCCAGTAGACTGAGAATAACATTAATTCATTTTTCCTCAGCACTGAGTAAGCTACAGCTGAAATGCTGCATTCAGCAAAGGCCAGTGAAGCAGCACAGGTGTTTGAGGAGGATGCAGGGAATGCAGCACTTTGAGTCTGGAGAAGAGAAGGTTTGTAGGTGTGACACCTTCCTGCAACCATGAAGCTCCCAGCACGAAGAGGCAGCCAGGCTCTCCACAGAGCTGCACTGCACACTGGCCAAAATATTGTGGTCCTCAACTACAACATGGGATACCCCAATGTTCCAGCACGGCAAAACGTAACTCCATCAGGGCAGCCATTACAACATCAGAACATTCCATCCTTTCCTTTGAAGAATTTCAACACCCAACTGGACAAAGCACTGAGCAGACTGGTCTGCATACAGTATTGACCTTGTATTGAGAGCAGAAAGTTTGCCTAGACCTCCCCGAGGCCCCTTCCAACCTGAAAAGCCTTCCAAAGTGATATAAAAACAGGACTGTTAAAAAATTATCCATCTTCATTCAAAAAAAAAATCAGTTTTACCTTTATTTTTCCCAAAAGATAGTTGTCTGCAAAGGTTGTGCAAACTTTAAGAGATACAATGTTCAGTATATCTTTCCTCATCAAAGTGTTTTCTGATGCTTAAATTGATTCCTTGCTATTTTAACCTAGGCCTATTGATTCATTTCTTATCCATCATTAGGATGAAAAGATTAATTCAGCTTGTGATTCCATGATAACCTCAAATCTCCTCTACAAACCCACCTAAGCTTGTAGTGTCCCCATCTATACTTCAGAGCCAACAACTGCCTGCAGGACTTAAAATCTGACATTTATGATTCTTCCTGGTATACTACATTTTTCACATAATTTCTTAAATTTCTCTCCATTATTTGGAATTCTGATCCTTCCCTCCACTGAAAGAATCAGAAATACCATTTCCAACTTCGTAGATTTTGTATATTTAGTAAGCAGACTCCTTATTTCAGCATCTAGTCCTTAATAAAACTTGAAGTACTAAAAAATGGAGGATGACCCCAAGAAATCCAGCTAATTCATCCCTCCTCCTATTTAATCAAATTATTGACAACAATTTTTTTTGGTATGTGTTTTCTAATTAGCTCTGTGTTTACATTACAGTAATTTCATCTAGAACTAATGACCTTTCAAGAATTTTAATTACAACAAACATTTAAAACCTTTACCAAAACCTAAATATGGCATCGGCTGCTTCTCCTCTATCCACTAGACTTATCTATGTTCTGGAACTTTTAAAAATTGCTTATTCTGGACAAGTTCACACTCACTATTACTCATGTCCATGCTGCAAGTTATTATTATTATTTTCTAGCATTTTTTACAGGGAGAGAAAAACTACCAGCTCCTCCTCCATCACCTATTCTTAAGGTGTGAAATTGGCTTGCCCTTTGCTGGTATTCTGGAACCTTATCTGTTTTCCCAATGATGATCACTAACCAACGATATGGCTTCTCCAAAGATCCCAACTGGAATGCACACAGCTCCAAATCCTCTGGAACTGAAAACTTCTTGAGAAAGTTACCACCTTACCAGAGTTCAGTGGGGCAAGGACATTAAGAAAGGCCATGTTATTTTCTTGCATCACATGGCAGTTGGTTTTTCCCAGTATAAAAACTTTTAGCTTCCCAGTTAGCAGCAGGTTATTATATAAAACTGTTTCTTGATACAACTGACCACATTTGCTTGTTATATTTGAATTTGTGCACTGCCTTTCTAATTTTTCTATTTACACATTTGTGCTATTCTATTATACGTCTTTATAATTCTGTTTTTGTAAACTGGCTCTCAGTAATCTCAATTTCCCTTTCACTCTAATGCCTAGAGGAAATGAAGAATTCTGAATTTATCCAACTTGGCCTGTTAGCAAGCAACTTGTGCTTTTGTTCTTAATTTACCAAAAAAACTATCAATTCTCCTTACCTCCATTTTCTCATCAAACCTCTTTCTCATGGCATTTTATCCACCAATATCAGTTTTCAGTGTTGTTCTTCCACATTCCTTCATAACAATGCCTGGTGAGTGAATCCCCTCATTCCCAAGTCAGTCTTAAACTGCTTTCTCTCTTCATATTCTCCTCTGACTTTTTACTGGGCTTTAGAACCCAAAACACACAAATCTGTTCTCTGTCAATCTGCTTCGTTTTACAAAGAACAACCAAGAAAATCAAAAAAGAAAATCAACAAAGATTTCATGATCTTCTGTCTGGTTTGTGCCCAGTTCTTTTCCTTATCTAGAAGAGTTTTGGATAACTGAATTCTTATTTTCTTGACTATTCCACCTTACCAATCACATTTACCATTTGAATAAAGAATGAACAGTTCTGAGGCGATGGCAGCTTAATTTGAAACTATTTATTTAGGAGCTGTATTTTTTTTTAATTAGGAACTCCGGTGAACTCATGGCATTTCTCTCACACAGTTGCAAGAAATGCCTAAGCTGCAGCAGTTATACAGCCAAGAGCTGTGCCTTTCATGCATCTCCTGAACTTGTCCTGAAGACACATACCCACTTCAATAACCTTATAGAAAAGCTAAACATAATTCATCACCAGCTTTGAATATTTCTGATCTGTGAAATGACTTCAGACATTTGTGTCTTGTAACCCTTCCACTAAAATGTGCCATCCAAGTGTTCCTGACATCCTGCAGGACTTTGTGTTCCTAAATGACAACTTCAATCCAGAGGCAACTCCAGCGCTGAGCTCTGTGGCAGAATTCTGAGAACATATTTTCCCACCATTCAAAAGTAATATGTATTTTTAAAAAGTGTTCTGTCATATTGGTTAAAGTCACAAACATTGTCATAGGGAAAAGGCAATTTGCTTTCCTTCAGGAGCAAAGCAACAATTCCTGACAAGTGCTGTGCATCCTGCAGCCACTGGCATTTAGCTTCAGAATGAGTAACATGGAGAAGCAGGATGTGCAAGGCCTCAGAGCACAATAGTTCTGCCAAAGAGATGAATACAGCATCACCCAGCAGCCACAAACACACTTAGCAATGAAACATGAGAGCTAAAAGAGAGGCTCAAATGTAACAGCTTACAATTTCTCAAGAAGAGCAGTGCTAAGTCTAATGACTGAGTGAAAAGTGCTTGAACGTCTGTTGTCACAGAGAGAAAAGTCTGCTGGGCTACCCCACCCATTGCTCTGCTAATGAGTGTTTTCTATGTTACATTTAACATCCTGCAATCCTGAAAATATAAGAAAGTAATTCGGCTCTCACAACTATTCCTGCAAGATTATTTTATAATGTAAAACCTCACTGCTCATTTGAGAATCCATATTTAGTCTTAAGCAAGGAGGAATCTTTCCCTGGGTTTTTGTTAAGTAATAAAAAAAATCCCCAAACCACATTAGAAATAACCCTAAAACAACCTAAGTCATCAACATACCTTTCCTTCATTTTTTACCAAATTTAAGTTAAAAAAAAGTAACAGGTTTTCAGCTGCTTTGCTTCCTGAAATTGCCTCCTGATTGTGAAGAGATGTGATTAGACAGCACTGTCCTCTTGCATCTACAGACTCCAGCAGCAGTGGAGTGTGAAGTGAGTAATGGTGCTGTCCTGAGCCTGCCCAGGATGGAGCAGCACAGAGACAGTCACAGGACTAAGGGGTGACATAATCAGGCTGCTCTGGCAATAAATATTGCCTATTTGCAGTACTCCAAGTACTCAGAGTAAAAAAATGTGCAGAATAAACCTAAGAGTAATAAACCAATCCTTAGTTAGCAACTAATCTCACACCCTGAGTCTTCACTGATGGAATTTGCTACCGAGTTATTTCCAGGTCGTGCTGAAGGAAAACTCTGCTGTACTGGCACTGAATTCTCCTCAGACCATGGCAAATTAGGAACAAACTTTAAAAATCAGCACTATAGACTGGTGTACTTTCATATTTCTTATGCAATAATTCTTACTTCTCTCCATGAAATCCACTATTGTACAGTGCAAATAATCCAAACCAGCAACAGCATCCAGCTCATTTATAAAACATACCCTTGTGTTTAAGGAAAAGTCACATCTTGCAACCAAACCCATCACCAAGCCATGGGCCTCTTTGTCCCTGGTCTTAAATGGCTGAAAGTCAGAATTGTTTTAAAACAGGAAATTAAAAGCTTCCTGGAAGTAAGTGAAACTGTAACAACATTATGCAGAAAGCAACTACTTTCTTTGGAAGATATTAAGTGAAGAAGTTGTACAAAATAATTGCTGAGGGTTTTTTATTTGTCCTTTCTGTAGACAAAACAGCATCTGAGGAAGGGTTTTCATTCACTTTCCTGAATTGTACATCTGTTTCTCCCTCTACAGTTACATCATAATCCAAAACAAAATTATATGTATTAGTCCTACTAACAGAGAATCCAAACACAGTTAGGTAGTAAAATGCATCAGTGGCTTTACAGTTCAGTAATGGCACAATTCACATTTCCAAAACAACTTCAACTTCATTTTGTACAAACAGAAGTGTACAAGTGACTAATAATGACAGCATTTGGAACTCACTCCAGTGAAGGAATTCTACTACTTCACCTGAAAATCCAAATATTCTTATTCAAATGCACTCCATGCTTTCTAAGGAGCACTGACATACAACAGGGACAGCCTTAATGTTCAAGGATTAGTTTTGCTTAAATTAACTTATACACTGGTCTCCTTCCTCTCTCCCCTTCTTTTGTGAGGTCAAAAAGTCTTTGCAACAGGGCATAGATGTTTATTATCTATGCAACCACAAGCCCAGACTTTTCACTTAGGTATTCTTCATCTGCAAATCTGCTCAAAGAATCAAATAATGGCTCTCACAGACTTTCTGGACTCAGAGAACATTCCAAGAGTTAACAGCATATTACTTTGTAAATTGAAATAAAAATGCATCAAAGCACGCCACTGCTTAGGGTAGAAGAGACACTGTTGTGGTCATCAGGGTGCAAATGAAGAAGACATTTAACTTACAACACCACTGGAAACAAGAAAACATGTAAGAGTAAAGAATAAAAACATTTTCCCTTCTTTCCTTCCCATAGTGAAAACTCAGGAATCTCCCATAGAATTTCTTACCATTTTATAAAGGTCTGAAACACTGATCTGATCTGAATCCACAACCTCAAAGTCCTTCCGTGGAACTAAGTCAAGGCCCAAATGCCTGCAAGAGAAGGAAGGAGCAGTGTCAGTGAGGCACAGAATGGTCACCAGCACCTCCTGCATGTGCCTCCTCCAGGGCAGGGACACAGAAATACTCAGCTATTCCAGTCTTACTGCAATTGTTAACCATTAAACAATTCTAAAGAAAATTTAATGCAAATATCAAAAAATCCCTCTAGAAACTTGTTACTTCTTGTTCCCCAGTTTCAGTGGAGCTCTGGCAATCATTGCAGGAGAAGCTTTTGGCCAATATGTTGGCACAGTACTCAAAACAAGGTAATTTTGCAGATGGATATGTTGCAGGCAAATAAAGTTCATACTCTGCTGCTGAAGTATTTCAGTAAGATCCTTCATTACATAATGAAAAAGTTCCATTAATAGTCCTGTTCAAATGTGCCAACAGATTCCGAGCCTTGGGAAGCTGCTTTGATATTCCTGGTTTTCATAGAACTTTACCCCCATGTAAACACAGTAATTTTTGTTAGTAATAAACAATAACTGAAATAACAATAATCTTAATCTGTATTCGTAACACACACAATTTTTTTTTTCATTATTCTGAACAGAATTATTACTTTGACTCAAATCAAATATATAAACTGATAAAAAAATACCAGTGCAAAGATGACAAGTTAAGGAATTCAGCTGTAGAGAAGGCAGTTCAGGTCACAGCTTCACAGGAGTAGCAGACAGAATAAGATATTCTTTATCCAGACAAATAAATGCAAACCCTTAATGATTAATTAATAACTGTAGACTGCAGAACAAGACAACCTTAAAGGTGACAAGCCCCAAGTTTTGCTCCATAGATCTTCAGTTCCTGAGGCATAAAGAGCTCTGAGCTTTACAATAAATAGCTACACTAAACACATATTAGGAGTTAATTTTTAAAAAACCCAACACATGAATTAAGCATTTTCCCACTTTTGCCTTATATAACTTTGATACTTCACTTCCAGACATTTTATATTGAAACTCTTAACAATCTTAAAGAAAAAAAAAAAAAAAGACAAACAGAAGAGGTGCCCTCACAAATTACTGTGGCACTCCTGTCACAAACTATAAAAGAAAAGCAGAAGCCAATTTAATTTTGTAATCAGAGAGGGAAACATTCTGCACAGACTTGTTCCTGATGGCAAATGAAAAATTTTATTGAGAAAAACCTCTCTGGTACTGTAGAGTAATTATGTGGAGCAATAACAGAAGGCTCCAGGCAATCCAGTGTCTCTTTCTGAGCAATTGGCTTAAAACAACAGCTGGGGAGAAGCAGTGGTCTGGAGGAAGCTCAGCTACCTTTGCTCACCACGGTGCTTTTAAACACTACATGGAAGTTTCCAAACTCCATAATTCTTTTTTTGCATCTTTGCCTAAGCAAGTTTTCCTTCTTTATTTATATCGCTAAACCATCACAGCTTCAAAATCCAGCTGAGCCCTGTTCACTTGCCCTGGCAGCACTGCACGATCATTGAAACCCCCTGCTGCCCAACTGGAATTTCCGTGTTCTCAGTTCTTTGCTCAAATCAATTATATTTTCAATTGAAAAAAGGAAGCAGCTTTCCTTCTTCAATGCAGTTTCATGTCAAATTCCAAATTCTAAATTCTGATACTACATTGTGAACGTCATGGTTTCACAGTTTGTTTTGATTAAACCTATCAAACACAAGTTATCTGTGGCCCAAGACCAGTATCTGAAAACTGCAGCTGCAACAATGAAAATGACTGCATCTATTTACCAAATGAAAAAGATTAAAATAGACACACTAGGTAATCCTTACCTGCAGCTGCCAGCTGAGCCTACTTATCACAGAAAGTCAAAAAATACGATATAAAAAAATGGTAAAATCAGTCAGAGATCACTGTAAAGGTTTTTTTTTGTTTTTTTAATATGTTAATGCTCATCAAATTCATTCACAGCAGCTTTCCTGAATGTGACTATCTAAACAACCTCCAAAACACCCTGTCATTCACATGTGTGCACCCTCCCACCCCTAAAATACATTGATGAAGGGATTTCCCCTCAGCACACAGATATGAACAGATTATTTCCTACTAACATTATCAAAGCCATTGTGTGTGCACTGCAGCTCCAGGGCAGTCACAGAGCTCTATTAAAGTTCCCCAGGAAAACCTGGCCAAGCCAATCCTGAACTGACAAGGTTCTGTTCGCATCATTTCAGCTCTCTGGAGAGCTGGGGTGAAGCAGTGCCTGCACTCATTACTCAGAACATGACAAAAGTATTATCTTCTGCTTAATAATGTTCAACACAACTCCAGCAGCATCCCTGTGAAACTTATCTAATACCCTATTTTTAGTTAAATCCCTTAACACCGTGGATTTTCAGCCCAGAAGATTCTCATTCTCTAATACTATGTTAATCCTGCACAACACTTGCTCCCAGCAAATAAGGGTGTGTTGGCTGGAGCACAAACATGCAGCCATTTACTGTGCAGGTGGAAGTTCAGGTTTGTACACTCAATTTGCATCAATTATATTTTTGCCTGTGAAGGACTGACAACATAATGCTTGAGATGGCAATGACAGTCAGTGGCCCACTTTCCCTCTCTATTATCAAACACTGGGGGAATAGAGGAGCCCCAGCTGCCAGGCAGCATTTCTCCAAAACAGAGCATGCATAAAAATTACATAATGTGCTGGTTTGTTTATTTGACAGTTCCTGTCTCACAATACTTTCTTTTACAAGCAAATTCTTGTGCTCTTTTATTCTGCCTTCACACTGAACTGCCCTTCAAAAGTATTTCCCAAGCATACCTACAAAATATCCCCAAGCCTATCAATTACCTCTTGATTGCATCTGTTTGGGATACCTCCAGCTGGCATTTCTTCCTCATCTATATAAAAGCCTTTACAATTTTGCTTTCTTTGGGGGATAAAAATTTTAAAAATCCACCACCTAAAATCTCTAGATAATTTTCTCTCTAGTAATATGAAATCAAGCCAACTGACAACTGGCTTTTTAATAGTGGAAGGGATGAACACACAGCTCAAGGTTACCTGGGCTCCTAGAAAAAAAATCAACTTAGGTTTAATGGTAATTCTGAGGAAAAGTCCTAATTTCTAGTATCTTCACCTATTTACAACACAAACACTACAGCATTTAGAATTCATAAAACCACAAGTCAGCACAACTCCTCCTAAAAGAAGAACCTTAAAGAAATATGTCATTTGATGTAAAAAAAAAAATCTTTCAAATGCAAACTCAGTCTTGAAAAACAGATTGGGAGAGCTCATCACATCTCTGGAGGGTGCAAGATCTCATCCCCTTTGCTCCAAAAACATCCACTTTACCTCAACCTTTTCAGCTTTAATTTTGCAGCCACCACTTTTTATTTTATTCCTCCTCTTAGTATATCAAAGCCTCACTTAATATAATTTGTATTTCTCTCACACAAAGATGGTGAAGGGAAGGAAAATGATGCTAGCAGTGATTCATATCAACTATGCACAGACTTTAAAATAGACTTTGAAGCAAATACAATACACAAGTCCACAGAAAATTAAATACATGAAAAAACCATGTTTGTCAAAATGAGACTCTGCTAATACAAACCAATAATTTTCCTTAACAGAATTAAGTGAAGTTATACAAACAACTGCAAGGGCTGCAATATACAAAGAAATTACTAAAGTACTGATGTAACGATACACAGGAAATTCTTTCTTAAAATGAGGATGATGAGATGAAGGTAAATAATCTTAGGAACTGATAAAAGGGAATTGGAGCAAATACTTCTGAGCATGGCAGTATCAGGCTACAGAGAGGTTTTTCAGGTTTTCCTCAAAGACTGACTTTCAGCAAAGTTCCTTACACCTTTAATCCCAATCATTACTCCAAGCATATCAGGAGAGAGAAAGATGCTGCACGTTCAGACAGAAATGGCAGCTGTTCTTCCTGCAATTCTTAAAGGCATTTCTCCATGGTTGTTCAAGTTGGTCACTCCTGTTTTGATCTCCTTTGATGTAATGACAGCTACTGTAATAAAACTGCCTTTGATTCTCCAAACAGGTATCATCTGTACTTTTAATTCTTATCTTCAGATGCATTTCACTAACTTTAAGGTAATTGTTACAACACTACCAAATAGTCACTCTTATTCCTTTTATGTCAATAGAATATGACAAGAGGATAAATCAGTCCAAGCCCCAAAATAATCTAAGAGTGTGAGCACTGAAATTTAGGACTTTTTGAAATTCAAGACTGTGCTGACTTCACTAGATCACACAACTCCTGCCCTCCACAGTTGTGGATGTCAGTAGTCAGGAGGTACTAACCAGCTGCTACAGGCTTTCCAATTGCAATTCTGAGGCAGGAGAAAAACCATGACCTTAAAAGTGTGTTTCATTTTCTTTGTATGACAGTGTAAAAGATTTATTGCTAATATTTTGCCCTTTGTTTTTCTTTTTAAACACTCATTTTTACCTTCTGGCTACCTGTGGATCTTTCTGTGCAGAATTTATGGCAACGATTTGGAAAATTTCTTTTAATGCAATGATTTTAATAACATTTTATGGGGAAAAAAAGAATAACCTTTGACTAAAAAGTAATATAAGCCTACAAACTCATCTTGTTTATGGCTTTTATCTGTCAAAAATATCAAGCTATTGGTGGCTCCCCCTCCTTACTCTGTTTCTGACCCAAAACATAGAGTACATATTCCACATTTATAGGGAAGGAAGTGTCTTCCCTGAATATGCAAGGAGACCTGGATGCTTTCTGGTAGTCTCCTGACAGATGCTACATTAATCTGAAAGAATCAGTCCTGAAGATCAGGTGAGATGACCTCTGATTTTCAAGTTGAATTACTTTGAAGAAAGCTTCATCTGCCTTTCTGGCACACAAGGTATTGCACATACTGCTGCAATTAGCTTTTGGCACTGAAGCAGAAGCAGAGGATTCACATTTCAAATAGAAGCTCTGTCAGGCAGATTCCTTCATCTGTTTTTGATGTAAAAGACTCCACAATGAAACAGCTCTTCATCAGCAAAAAAGCTGCATTCTGGTTTCCCATTCTAAGCAACAGTAAAAGTTGAAAGACTTATCCATTCATGCAGAAGCAAAAACCTAAACAAAAATTTCAAAATCAAGTATCTATTTTATTTGAAACGTGTTGGAAAATGAGATGAAGAACAGAAGATTCAACTTCATAATGTGACTTAGATGAGATGATAAATAGCAGACTTCAGCTTTATAACGTTTGTTTCATGCTTTACAACTTTTTCCTTGTTATTCACAGACCATTGGACACTTCCAATAGCATTTCAGACTTCCATAGATCAATATTATGGCCAATTGTATCATGCTGAAACATTGCTAGAAAGCAGAAGTATTTGCAATATTCTGTATAAAACCCAGCAAGATAAGCAGGAAAGAAAACAGCAGATAAGATTTTGGCTGTGCAAAAATACACAGAGATGCTTAAATGTGCAAGTCTAAAACCAGCAAGGGGCTCATCTGAAGGTACCAAATTCTCATTGGGAAATACAAAAACCTCTGGAGCAGCAATATCAGACCTGCATTTGTACAAACCTAAGCTACCTGGGGGTAAGTGGAACAAGGAAGAAAGCAGGAATGAATGAATGAAAAAAAGGATGAGTCCAGGATCTTTCTTTTGTACAGGGGAGAAAGAATGTGTAAGCAACAGAAAATGGAATGGCTATAGGAAGGGGCAATCAGTATTGTGTTAGAAAAATGATTAGCAACAATACAGGGGTTTAGCAGCAACTATTGTAAAATAATATTCCCACATTTAAATTGGCCAAACTACAGAGCAAAACTTCTTGGTATTTACAGTAAGCACAGAAAACTAAGCAAATAGAAGGTATGAAAACAGTCTAAATGAGCTCTTTCACAGAAAAAGAAATCTGCAGCTATTCATTCAAGGAGGGTATCTGTCCCTTGATTTCCATGAGCTCCTACCAGGACACAAGGGATGACTTCCAGAGCCACTGCCAGTGTATTTAAAGGAAAACTGTACCAGTTGAACAAAGTGAAAAAAATCAGAAATTGGTGATAACAAGTAGTATGAGTTTCATGTTTGCATCACTCCTTCCCAAAGAATACAATTCATTGATGATCAAGGTCAGGATAAAAAGAGTCTCTCACTACATAAGCAAACATGTTACATATTAGATGTATGAGATTACTGTTTCCTGAAAGCTGCTTGGCAATGGAATATCTCCTGTTACATTGCACTGTCTTGAGTAATTACATCCCTGCTCAAACTGCAGGGAACTCAAGCTTCTCAGACAACATTAATGCACATTAATAACAAATGCTTTTCATTTCTTTTATTTGCAAATCTCAGGTATGACAGAACAGCAATTAACACTATTATAATACTTGAGAAAGGGCAGTACTATATGAATATGTCTATGAAAGTCATTAGTATTGTTAGTAGATTAACACAGGAGGTCATAAGTTTTGTGATAAACCTCAGAGAGGGGGGGATAGAAGAAAGAGGCATAACTCTTCCAGAAATTCTGTGAAAAAGAGTAATAGTGCAGAAACACCCCTGAGGCTCCACAGATTTAGATTTAAATACTGCACGCATCTCTGATATCGTGCATCTCTTTCTCTAGGGAGTTCAATAGTTGTAGTAAGAAACAGAAATTTTTTTTTCCTGAAGAAGCATCCTGAGTAGATGAATATAATCCTGAACATATTTATGGACTTCACTGAGGCTTCTCCATAATTGTCATGCATTAAATTTACCTTTAAAGTTTGAATTACATTCCTATTTAATGGTTTTACATCAAAAAAGGTCTATAGGCACCTCATGGAACAACCTATTCTCTTCACTGCTGCATTGCTCTCTGCTCTTCTCATCTTTTTTTTCCTCACAGCATTTTTGCAGCTTCCTGTTGCTAATTTGATCCAAAAACTCTGAGCAAAACCAGGCAGGCATAATACTCAAAAACAGTCTCTTGGTTCCTATTTACTGGGAATAAGAATGGGAAATGTCTGTAATTCTGCACTGCAGAAAGACTTTTTGCAATCTATTGGTCTATGTCCTTCAGAGCTTTCTTTCAACAAGAGAGAAATGACGTGCAGCGAAGGGGCTGCTAAACCTTCATCAGGGTGCTCAGGTATGTCCCTCAGAGGGGGTTTTGAGGTAGGTGAAAGAATGGAATCAAACAAACATAGCTTCATGAAAAACACAGGGATTTTCTCCTTAGCTGTCAATTTACAGGACTCCTCCCCACTCCCACATGCTCATTAGCAGTAATCCCAGTCCCAGTGGGAAACTCTGTTTGTCTGAGAGTGAGTGTCACAACTTACCTGTCTGATCGACATCCCAGGACACATAAGTCTGGCCAAGGGCTGGTTTTTGTCTAATGGCAATTTATTATCATTTCTGTGTGAATGAATTGCAGCTGTCTTTGCCTTTAAAAGAACCTCTCCACAAAACCACCATGGAGCTGACCAAGGAAACTAAACCTCTGAGAAGTGTCATGATACAAAAAGTCTAAATATCACAGCCTCAGCCCCCATGTCCCTGGTGAACTGTGAGATTTTCTACTTTCTGCACCAACCATTGTAATACTTCCTCAATGGAAGAAAAAAATGTATTTTAAGTACCTCTGAACACATCCTCCCAGGCCTAATATTCTCTAGGTTGACACCAAGTAAGTGAAGCGACCTAATCCTTTTATAAATGCAGGGAGCCCTTGGAAAGGCCTACTGGTAAACAGCTCATTTCACACCAAGAGCAAAACTCCCTGTAGAAGGCAATAAATTCAGGAAAAATTTATACTTGATTTTCAAATAATCCCAAGTTCTCCCTGTGCACAAATACCATTGGAAAGAAAACGCTGAGTAGGGTTTTTTTTGTTAATAACAGTTACTTGAGAAGAATGAGAAGAAACAGGACCCAGTACTTACTCATTGCCCCAGTCCAGCCTCACTGTGAGGTGTCTCTTGACCTCTCGCACCTGATCCTGTGTCAGGTGCCCCGAGAGCAGCTGCCTGCGGAGGTCAATGAGCTCATTCATCACATGCCGCAGCTTGTAGAAAAGATCTACCTTATGTTTCTGTAAAGGCACATTTTTGGGAGGAGGGGGGAGGAGGGGGAGGGAAAAAGAAAGAGGCAAAGAGGGAGGAAAAAGCAGAAGAAAGAAAGAGAAGGGGAGAGAATAAGTGTGGAAAGAGAAAGTGTGAGAAAGAGAGAGAGAAAGAGAGAGATTAATAAGTTACCCAATTTTCATTTAATTACCCTAGAGGAACATCAATCCAGTTTTTGTGAGCCTTAAAATATTTACATCAAAAAGTAGTGTTAACTGATGCAATTCATACTAAGTAACTTCTTATTCCTGTGGTTTAGGTTCAATCTGCTAAGAGGCCCATTTTCTGATGGAACCTAATGCTAAATAAGAGGATTCATTAGGCACAGCAGGAATCGCTTCTTCCAATCATACAGTAAATGTAAAATTTTAGATTTAAAGTGATAGGGGTGAAAAAGTTTACTTCTGTCAGCAGCTAACTGAATGGCTCTGAGCAGGCAGCAACAATGAGTCACCACAACAAAAAAGCATTTTTAAATTATTTGTGATATTCCAGTTACTAAAGTTCAGCCAGGTATGAGGGGGGTGGGTGTGTGAAAATTCATTACCTGGCACTCTAAAAAGGACTAAAGCATTTAATAATAAAATCCACCAGGAAAATTACTTTGAAAGGGAAAAAATTCCATAGGTAATATAAAACCCCCCACACCACCACCATCAGTAAAGACAAATAAACAGAAAATATCCCCCAAAAACTTACACAACTAACACTGTAATCCTTTCCAAAAGAACTGGTATTATTCAATTATGGAAAAAAACCCTCTTCACCAAAACCAAATCCACTCCAACCAGACAGAAGTGGAAATACTTTTTTCCCCTGCAGGCAATAATTATTTGTGAATTCCCCAAAAAGGAAAGTTTGAGGCCAACAACCAAGGCCACCCATAAGAGAAGAAAAAATAAGGACATTTGTCCATTTGTCTCTCTTCTGGGTCAGCACTGTGTGTCAAGGGGACTCGTCTCCATCCAGTCTCCAATACTGCATAAAACAGCCAATGTGCCATGAAAGAGGAGCCCAAGAAGGAAAACAAGATCTCCTGATGCAGCTGGATGCTGTTATTTGAACAGCTGAGCTCCATTCCCTCTGCTTTGCAAAGCCTGAAGTGTTTGAATCTCACTTTGGAAAACACCAAGTGGATGGACTGACATGGAGACTTGATCAGCTGCTCCTGCCTCGATCACGTCTCTGCTTGTACATGAGTGGATTATAAAGCCCTCTAAACACAGACACCTGCATCTACCAAGATTACATCTGACAGAGGAACATCCACAAAGACAAACATAAGTGTTTTCTGTTGCAACACATTATTAGAACAAGTGTTTTTCAGTTGTTTACCAAAAATAGCTGAGATGAGATGAAAAAAGAACTTCCACCTACTTGAGTTTGTTTTCCTGTAAGACCACTAGATCTGCATGACTTAGGAAAACAGACATCAATGCAATCCATTACGATAAGCATTTTTAAAATTTCTCTGAACCTGATTACACATCTGTTTTGCTGAAGCAGGTTAAGCACAGATGGCATCATCAGTTGTTCCTATCAAACAATTTTGAGATGAAAAGATGCACAGTCTTTCAACTCTGCATCAATACTGGTTCTGGTCCCACTTGAAATAAAGAAAAACCAGACCTAACAGAAAGACATAAATTTCTGGGGCTGAAAAAATTTATGCAAGGAAGATAATTGTGCATAGCTGATAAGCTTAAAATCACTCAATTTTTTTTAGGTTTTATTACTAAATGTGGTCACAAGTAAATCTTATATAAGCTGTTAATGACAGTAGGTATAGGAAATGTCCATTTTTATGGTGTGGGAAATGTCCATTTTTATATGCTATTTATGTGAACAATAAAAGGTTGTTACTTTTTAAAATACAAGATGAAAACAAATGAGTTTGGTAGTATCAAAACAGCAAAGTAGGTATATTTTAATAATAAAATAGTTGGGAATTAAATTATCATAAGAATCATGTCCCAAACCATGATATTCAGACTTCCCAAGTAAACCTGCTAAGAGGGCCACTTTCTTGCTCCCATGATGATGGTCCAAGGTTATCAAAGCAGTCAGGTTTAGAACACCATGCTGGGTAAATTACAGTAGGTTCTATGGTTGTGTTTAAACAGTCATTTTATACAAGCCAAGGAGTATCAGAAGTACTTACTTTAAATACAAATAAAGGAGATTACAGAACATAAGTGTTTCACCTGCTTTAAACTGAATGCACAATTATTGAGAGAGAGCTAAACATAGGGTGTCCTTCCAGAAAATCCAAGGTCCAGGGCAAGGAAGGGAAGAAGAGAAAGTGAAAGCCAGCAGAGCTGTGGCTGTGATCTCAGGGAAGCTCTTATGAAGAACGAAATATGCAAGATCCATGATAGTGAAGGAAAACGCTCATGAGGGAGAAAGGAGAGCTAGAACAGAGTTGAAAGTGGCTTAATTCCAGGCTTGCAGGCAGAAGGGAGTTTGAAGCAGTCAAATCAGTTTCTAACATCCCTCCTCTACAGGAGCCCAGGGACTAATGAGCTTCACATGGGAGAGAAGGAAGGAAGGAGACACACAAGTTTTAATGACTTCTCTTTCAAGATGAAAAAAAACCTTCAAAATTCAATACTAAGCTAAATTACTCAGGATTCCTACCCTTGTGTAAAAAACCTGTATAAGAGATGGCCCCAGACACCACATTTAAGAAACAACCCCCTCCATCCCTCCCCAATCCTTCCATTTTAGTTAGAGCAGCACCATAAATAAACCTGAAATTTTATCATCTTGTTAGTAGTTAAATAAAAGATGTGCAAGTTAGTCTGATGTGTAAGCATTCGTTCTGTTTCACAGTTAATTTTCATACAATCTCTAACCTCTAATTTTTTCAGCTGGCTTTATCACAAGCTCCCAAGCAAGGAACACATCAGTCCATCCAGAATGACCTGCTGTGTGCATTTATAAATATATTTGGCAAATCTGGAATATAAAAGTAATTATTTCTGCAGAACTTTTATGGTAATAATTAAAATGAGACACAAACAAAGAACCTGGATGGCTTTAATGAATTGGGACTCTCCTCACAAGCAGCACAAGTCCTCTAAAACATCGTTGCCTCATTTTACTATCCCCAGACACAAAAATACATGCTGTATTTCTTTGATCTGTTATAAGTAACAAGTCACGCTTATCAATGTTTGGATCATCTTCAGATGTGCAGCTATGCGTCAAAAAGTGGAATTCTGACAGTGTTTTTTTTCTTTTAAGGACTCCGTATTAACTCTGTGGAGTTCAAAAGCCAAAAGATGGGTTTGGTGTGGAGCTTCCCCCACCTGGCCCCCCTCCCACTGGCAGGGGCAGGAGGAGGAAATGACAATATCGGTGGTCTGAAATAAAGACAGGGAGCTCACTCACCAACCACCATCCCAGCACAACAGAACTCCCTTGGGGAATTTATTTATTGCCATTCCAACAGAGTTGGGTGGGGAGATACGAAGACACAAAGAACCCTTGTGCTCAAGCACCCCCTTTCCAAGCCCTACATTTTTTCCCTTTACTCCCAACTCCTCCATCCTTCAGAGAATCACTTCCTCCCGACCATGTCAGGAGAATGGAGGGGTCAGTCCATGGCAGCTCCGCCCTGGTTCTCCCTCCTCCTCCCAGTTTTCCCCTGTCCAGGGTGGGTTCTGCCTGCACAGATGCCAGTGTGGATCCCAGCTCCACTGCCTGTTCACACCCCCCTGCTCAGCTCCAGTGTCTGTGGGGCTGTTTCTCCCCTTTCCCCCTCATCTCCCTGCCCCAAAGCTGCTGTCCCAGAGCCCCCCCAGCTGGGATCAGCCTCTTCCCTCACACCATGGCCAGGCCAACACCCGGCGCAGGAGCTCGGGATCCCGACAGCCCAGCTGGGCCAGAAACCCCAGCACAGGCCCCGCTTCCCTGGGTTCCCTCAGGGGGCTTGTGAAACACCACGGCTGCCTCTGTCATCTTCTCTAAATAAATACCACATCATATGAAAATACATAACAGATTGGTATATTACAGCAGATGACCTATTTATAGGCACTTTGTTACCATGACTTCATTTACCACCACTGTAAAGTCAGGATTTTGCCTCTCTCAAGAGCAGTCCCTTAAGACATCTCCTATAAAACTGTCTTAAGCTGTAATGAGGGAGAAGGGCACAAAAAATTATTTTCCTTATAAAAGCAAGTGAGTAGCTTTTCCCAGGTTCCTTGTTATGGATTTTGGTATCTACATTAGATATTAAAGCCTGCAAGCACCATCAGCACATGAAAGGAAATACTAAAGCTAGAAGCAACATAACAATCCTGCCTTTCTTCTCAGTTTTGTCAGGATGATTTTAATTAAGCAAATTACTTTATATTAAAACTCTGTTGGAATTTAAAGATCTTGGCAATATTTATAGTTTAGTCTTACTCAAAATCTGTAATATTATTACCATGCACACCTTAAACTTCACCTATCAAATTAGAGAGTATTCATCAAGTGCCTGTTGATCAATAAAGGTCAGACTACAGGTCAATATAAAGTTGTCTCAAAAATAGGAAAGAACTAAAAGTTTGTGTGGGAGATGTGGACAGTACACAGGTGTCCTGACTGGCACCCACAGCAAAAGCAATTTCAGAACACAATTAATACTTGTACATATTCATCAGTTCTCCATATGTGCCTAGACAGCTGGTCCTCTTGGATTACAGAACTAAAATGGACTTTAAAAATTATTAAAAAATACAAACAACAAATAAGTGAAAACAACATCAAGCAAGAATAAAGTAAAACCTCTCATAATTAAAACTACAAAGTCCATTTACTAAGGGTTGAGGTGGCATCCTGGGGTTTTCACAAGAGGCTGGGTTTGAGCTCACCCCTCTCTGGCAGGACACCATTAAACACTGAGAGTCACTGGATCACAGAAATGTTAAGGTTGGAAAAGGCCTCTATAATTGTCAAGTCCAATAAACAACAGAAG